TCTAACCATGCTTGCCTTAGGCAATAGTGCCTTACAATTCAGCTTTGGGGAACTGTGCCTTGGGGAACTTGCCTGGGAGAACTGTGCTTTGGGAAACTGTGCTCAACTCTGTTTTGTTGCCATTACTACTACTATTGATGCAGACGTCTGAAGGTGGCATTAAATCTCTGGATGCATCCACTTGGTCATTCCAGCACATTTCATCAAGTGAAAATGTCATCCACTTGGCCTAGCTTTTAGTACATTTGTCCTCTCTGCCTGGTTTGAGTCCCTTCTACCTTCTGATAACAGAATCCTGGCTTTCCTTTGGAAACTATCTCCCCTTCCTTCTAGTCTGGGTGGTTCAGATAGGTCGACTCTACCCTAAAGCTCCGGGAGTGAGCTGACATCCCAAAGTAGTAATGGCCATTCCTTTCAACCCTGAGCCACCCTGATAGCTCAGAGTTGGACAAGTGATCTAATAAGCCTGGCCAAGTCAGAAAAACTCCCTGAGGCCACTTTGGTAGGAAATGGCTGGAAAAATCGTCCCTTGCTTCCTGCTGGGTTATAGCTTGGAGCTTTGCCAGTGCTTTGCATAAAGGAAAGCCAGCACCAAGAAAGGCAGCTAGACCTGCAGTGAGACTGGTTATTGAAGAGAATTTTTGGACTCTAGGATCCAGGTTTATCTCATGTACACATCAGTCAAAGTAAACGCTACTCTCTATTTCAAAGTGTTGTTAATATTTATGAATGTGTCAATATTTATAAAACACCAATATATTTCATAAGGAAATGAAGTAATTACCATTTTAATTAAGCCAATTTGAGTTGTGTTTTTTAACTGACTGTACTGACTGCTTGAGTTATCTTTCTAACCAGAAGGGCATTTCAACTTGAATTTAATTCCTCTCTTCCTTTGATTCAACATTTTTATTGATCATTTTCCCAACATCAGCATTGTAACATAGGAATGAAATTAGGTGCCATAGATACAAAGACAATTAATACAGAATCTGCTACCTTCTAACTCTCAACACCATACAGGAGATGAAGGTACAAATAGAAGATTTTAGAAGCGCCTGGTAAATACCATGACAAACTATGCACAAAGTCTTAGTAGCAAGGATGAGTATCTCATACAGCTCTTACAGGTTAATGAGTGGGTTTGTGAGAGGTGTTACAGAGGTTTTCCTACAAGAGGTGGTTACTTATGTGAGTTTTAAAGGATGAAGAGTTTTCCAGTAGGTGGGACAACACTGAGAAATGGAAAATGGTCCAATAGGAGACAATCAAGCAATCAAAGGCATGAAAATTGGAAAGTGCATGGAAGTCCTAGAAGCAGCAAGTGACTCAGGTAGATGGAGTTCATCCTGTGGGCAGGGAGAGGAGAGCAAATGAGGCAGGAGGGGAGATCAGGATTCCACATGGGAGGCCATGTGCCTGTGGGATCCTGCTTGTCTGTCAGTTTGGATGTTGCCATCACTGTGATGCTTTTACGTGTGCCTCATGTTGTTTTCATCTCCCTTGTGGACAGATTCCTTTATTGACTATCTACCATAGGGAGAGTGGGAAGTCAAGAGTAACCTACCTGTTCAAGGCATGTGTGGAAAATAAGGGATGGTGGATGTTAAATTCAAAAGACATTCACAAGATGCATACAACACAAAGGGATTGTGATCAGTTTTGTAAAAGATAGTGGATAAAGACACACTTCAAACATGAAATTCTTCCTTGATTCTTAACTTGCACACTTCCTTCTGCAGCACTGCTCGTCTTCTAATTCTGCAGTAAAGACATGCTGATGATTTCAAGAATCCATAAGTGTTTGAGTTTATTGGAAATAACACCAAGCACCATCTAATATGTAGATGAGAACATCATTCCGAAATTTTTAAAAAATTAGCTTTTAGTATAAGCTTTATATTTGCCTTTTCTTAAGACTGTTGTTTCAACTTTTGTGGAAAGTATTGAGTAATTAAATTACATTAGGGTCATATCAGGTAATCCAAGAAATACAGAAATGCCAAAATTACAAAAGAATGTACCAGAAAAAATACAGGAAATAAGCAAAAATCTCTATGGAAACATTTTTATCATACTAGATGATTATATAGGTCATGATGATGACTCTGGTATTATGGAAGTACAATGTAGGAAGTTGAGATGAGTTATAAACCACAGCAAACATATCACACACAGTGTACGAATACATAGTTCAACTAGGACAGTTACAAATCATCCTAAAAAACTTTGATGATGATCAGAAAATGACTTCTGTAATGTTTTAACATTTTGAAATGTTTTTATACATTATTTGTGACTCATCTATGTTCTCTTTGGAAAGACAAATGTGATTTATGCAATTGCTGGGTAAATTGCCAATATATGTCAGTCAAACCAAGTTGGTTAATTATGATGCTTAACTCTTCTATACTGCTACTGAATGTGTACTGCTTTGCATATTAAGTGTTGAAAGAGTTTCTTAGAATCCGTAACCATGATTATATATCGTTCTATTGCTGTTTTATGACCTCTTCATTTTGCTTTATGTGTGTGTGTGAATTTTTTTTTTTCTTTTAGAGACAGGGCCTTGCTCTGTTACCCAGGCTGCAGTGAGGTGGCACGATCATAGCTCACTGCAGCCTCGAACTCCTGGGCTCAATTGATTATCCCACCTCAGCCTCACAAATAGTTTATATATTTTGATAATGTTTTTGTAAGTTCATGAGAGCTTAGGAATGTTGGTCTCTTATTGACTTAACCCCTTTTTATTTTTAAACAGCCTTTTATCTCCAAGACTATTTCTTTCCTTAAGGCATAATATATTGATTAGGCCTTCATCAGTATTCAATTTTTGATAAATATACTTATTATTTATATGAATAGCATATTAATAGTTTTTAAGTAATAAAAATATTAATATATCTAGATCAGGTTTCAGTATATTAATATAGCCGTGTCAGCCCATTTTTATATGATGTAATGCTATTAATTCTTCTCATTTCAAGGAACCTGGTGTCCAATTTTTCACTTTTATTGTATTTTTATAATCGACACACAATTACTGTACATATTGATGAAGTACATAGTAATGTTTCTATATATAATGTATACGGATCAGATCAGGGTAATTAGCATATCCATCATTTCAAATATTTATTCTTTATTTGTGTGGGAACTTTTGATATCCTTCTAGCTGTTTGAAACTATATATTACTTTTAACTATAGTTATTCTACAGTGGTATAAAACACTAGAACTTTTTCCTCATCTCCAGATATAATTTAAAGTGTGTCTCTTTTAAGTAGCCTAAACATGTCGTCTTTAGGTAGTCTGATAATCTTTGACTTTTAATTGCAGTGTTTATTCTGTTTAAATTTACTAGAATTCTTAGTATAGTTGTATCTAAGTCTACTATCTGCTATTGTATTTGTCCTATCTTTTGAACAATAAACTTTTAAATCTGGGATAAGTTTAGATTCACAAAAAATTTGTGTGGGCACCGAGAGTTTCTATATCTGACCTTTAGCTCAGCGTCCCCTAATGTTGACATCTTACATAATTGTAGTACATTTGACGAAACTAAGAAATTAACTTTGGTACATTGTTGTTAACTAAACTCTTATCTTTATTCAGATATCATAAATTTTCCAATAATGTCCTTTTTTCTCTTCTAGGACCCATTCAACATACCACATTGTATTTAGTCCCCATATCACTTTTGTCTCCTCTAATCTGTGACAAGTTATTGGTTTTGTCTTGTTTTCATGACCCTGACAGTGTTGAAGAGTACTTATGAGGAGTTTTGTAAAACGTCCCTCAGTTCAGATATTTATGATATCCTTGTTATGATTATATAAAGGTTATGCATTTTCTGGAAGCACATAAACGGAGGGGAAGTGCCCTTCCATCACATTATCTCAGGGGGTGCATAATATTCACATGCCATAACTGGTGACAATAACCTTGATCACCTGGTGAAGATTGTCTGCCAAATTTCTCCACTGTAATTTTTTTCCTTTTTTCTTAGTCTTTTCTTTGGAATCCAGTCACTAAGTCTAGCTACACGCACTTGGAGAGGGGAATTACGCTTCACCTTCAGGAAGGAAGACTATACTCATATTATCAGCAATTCTTCTGTAAAGCTGTGTCTCTTCTGCCCTTGATCCATGTGTTGGCTTATTCCTGCATTTCTGTCTTCTTTTGTATTAGTTGGGTATTTTCTATTATACTATTTTATGTCCTTTTCAGATTAAGTCCAAAATTATACATTTTCCTTTGAGTTGTTGCCCTACAAATTACAATATTTGTTGTTGCTACAATTTTTTTCTAATACTTTCTCTAACAATAGAAAAGACATGTTAGAGTCTAAACCCAATTATCTTCCAACCTGTCTTTTGTGCTGTTTTTGTCATATATTTTACATTACAGTATCTCAATAGGTCATTATTATTCTTTAAATATAACAATATTTTTTTAGTTCTAAGCAGAATCACTTTTTCTACCTTTTGCTCCCAACCTCATTAAACGGAAAAGAATTGCATAAGTGTTTGAAAAACCGCTTCTGAAAGCATCTAGCAGCTTTAGCAGAGGCCCATGTTCAAATATCAATAACATTCAAAAGTTTGTAAAGAACTAATTTTGAGTAACAAATTGGTCAGTCTGAAAAACATCTACATGTTATACAAAATTAGAATTATCAAAGTGATGGGGGGGTAGTGTGTACTTTCTAAAAGCATGAGATAGTCCGTTTTGAGTAAGAGAAATATAAGGGAAATGCCAGCTAGAAGCAGGCACAGATTTAGATAGAATCTGCAGTCTAACTGTGTAACACCTTGGGCGCCTGGGAAGAACTAAAGGTCAAGAAGAAGTTTTTGAAAAACCACATAAGCACTTTTTTCATAAAACTTTTTATTATCATATCATTTGTAAAAATGAAACAGTAATGGTAACTTCTCTTTTCCAAGACAAAGAGAAACTCTGCAGAATGGACATTAAACAAGGCATTATGCCTTACAAGCGAGACATAGAATGTCCAAGGGAAACTTCAGCATAAAAATGCTGAACACATAATGTGAGATAATTTCAATACATAACAACTGACATTCTTTTTTTTTAAAAAAAAGTATAAAAATATAGATGTGCACGTACATTCCCTTACCCTAACAGTGATCCACTCATTGCTTACATTCCAACCCCCAGCCCTCCAATTCTCCACCCTATCATTTATCAAGGTGCCTGACACATTATGGTCTCCCACTAAATAGGAGTTTAATGACACATTTAAAACCCATCATATTCCAATTAAATAATCAGGACTGAGCTATGTTTGATGAAACACACTCATATCTTTAAATAACAACATGTAAAATATTAAAATACAAGCTTTCATAAATAAATAAGTACATAAATAAGTAGAACCCTCATAAGAAATAGTCAAACACATTAAGTCCTTTCCAGGTGTCCCTAGAAAGCAGCTGTTCTCTTTTTCATTTTCAGCTCTGGTAAGGGCAGGGATCATCCTGCAGGAAGTGTCAATGTCAGGCTGATAAGCTTCTTACTTCACTCCTGTCAGTCGGTGCCCCCCCTGTGATGAGAAAAGGGTTACTGTTGCAGGTGCTAAGGAAGGCTACTCTTCTGTCACTCTGGTGGCTGAAGTTGCTTGGAGGAATGTCCCCATGCAGACTCTCACCCAGCCCTCCACTCAGGGAAGGTCTGCCTGTACCCACTGCCCTCTATAGCAGAAAACTCGCACTCCTGAATGTTACTTTTTTTTTTTTTTAAAGAAAGAGGTGGCTGTGGACTCAACTAGATTCTTGGTTTGAAAAGCCAAAACATATTGGTCACTGATTGTCACATTGGGTTAGAAATTTCCATTCATGATCTCCCTTAAGCTGCACACAACCCTACGAAATAACTATCATTATCTACCCTAGTTTGCTAAAGCTCAAAGAGATTAAATAAGGTTGACAGGGCTCCTAGCCTTGAACTCACTGGGGGTGTCAATGTAGTGTCTGCTCTTCACCAAGAAGGCTGAGAGGCCAGAAGTGCCCAAACCAGACATTGCATTTTACAGGTCAGAAACCCATTAGGGACTGACATAAACATCCTCTCAAAACAGGCAGGGGGCATTTTAGCATTGTCAAATCTACTTGGTATTCTAGGAAGGCACATTTACCCTCACTTATTTCAGTACGGGTTAGGCCTGGGAATGGAGGGCACTGAAATACGGAAATATTCTCTGAGTCAGAGCAGACTAGTAACCTTAATGGCAACTTTAATTGTGAAAATAATAATTACAATTTCTAGTCCTTCAGCTAACTCCTGGATTTCCCTGATTTTATTTTTAGAGAACAGATGCCAGTATTTCTGACCAACGGCTCCTGTCGCCTGTGTATATGGAAATTACAACTCACTTGTTCAGTATCTTTTCGATGATTTTCTGAACCATGGGGGATGCGGGGTTGAGACAAGCTTTCTGCCCATTCTTGAGTGTGGCTCTGCAGAGAGAAGGGAATTCCATGAGGCAGGAGGTCGGGCTGGGCACAGGGTTTGGGGCAGCGGGAGAGTCGGGGACCCCGGCGGTGACAGCGGCAGCGCGGGGAGGGACTTACATGACTTCGGTTTCGGCGCAGTGGGGTCCTGGGGCCTTCACAATCACACTTTGGATGTTCTTGGGGTGAATTCCCTGCAGGGTCTGCAAGCACTGGCAGCGCAGTTCAGTGGCCACGGGCGCTCCT